CTGCTGCCAAAAGCTAATATAGCATTTCAACAAATTCTGGTTCCAGGTGACCATCATCAGGTCAGAGATTTAAGTTTCTTTAAAGGATGGCAGCAAACATATACTAAATACTTTGAGTTTAATTTAAATGTTTTCATTAGATTATAAACAGGGCTTAAATTCTCAGAGTACTTCCTAGAACACCCCCCCTGCCCCTGCAACATCCTATAAAAACTCTGGAGGGGTTGAAAATATGTACCAGAGCTCTGCTCTGGACAGCTCCAACAAATTTAAGCTCTGATTATAAGTGCAAGTCTTAACATAGGTTGTCAATTTCAAATACGTTTATTTTTAAAAATAAACTGCATTTAATTTAAATTTAAAAACTCTGAATTTTAATTTTTCTAAATCACTGATTTTCATTCACCCTGTACACACAAATACTTGGCTAGTTACCATGGCAGCTAGCCACACATCACCCTTGCCATCAGTGTAGGATGCCACATGTTGTCTTCCTGGAAAAAGGTGATAACTAGGGCTCCGTGTCTGTCACGGAAGTTGTGAATTCCATGACTTTCTGCGATCTCCATGACTAACACAGCAGTCAGTGTTGCTGACCCCAGGGTCATCCAAGCAGCTGGCCTTGGTGCCAGATGCTCAGGTGGCCCTAGGGACAGCTACACCGGCCACTGCTAGAGCAGCTCTGTAGCCAGCCGCTTGGACAGTCTCACAGCCAGCCACACCGGCCACAGCTCTGGCGGCCCCGGGGACAGCCCGAGGAGCTGCCAACGCGGCTGTCCCCGGGGCTTACGCGCCTCCCCCACCCCCGGCAGAGACCAGAGCGGCAGTGGCCTCCTGGGGCTCTCCATACAGCAGACCCCTTGCTTTCCCCAGCAACACCCTTCCTCACCCTCGCCCCCCACAAGATTCTATCATGAGTATTTTTAGTAAAGTAATGGACAGGTCATGGGGCCATGATTTTTTGTTTTTTGCCCGTGACCCATCCATGACTTATGAAAAATACTCATGGATTAAATCATAGCCTTAGTCATAATGCTCATCTTACTATATAGACAGACCCACCAGCCCGCAAGTGACCTGCGCCCCACGCCTCCGTGACTCTCCAAGATTTATGAGCATCCTCAAATGCATTGCTTCAAGCACTACTAATGCCACTCTTCATAGGAGCAGCTGGCCAATTCACCCAGAATTACTGATAAACACAGTTAGGCAGCACGTGAATGCACACATCCAGTTGCTGCAAGATTCTGTTGTATGAAAATGGTTTACCTGGGGGAAGATTAATTGGGGATTCGAGGATAGTTGAATTTCTTTCAAAATTACTCTACAATCCAAGATTTTTGGGATCCGTAAACAGTGTAACATGAAGTGATATGTATACCAAGGCTGCAATAAGACCATGCCATATGCTACATTACTTCTACAAGTCTGTTGCTTACCTATGATTACATTTCAACCTAGACAGCTACACACTGAGTATTTTTCTACTCAGCTGAAACAGAGCACATCAAAACCAGTGTGAGCTTATGTAATTTTACCTTTTAAAAAAACCTGAATCGAAACAAAGTTCAGGCAATTTCAACAGTAATCCTAGAAAGATTACATTTTCATTCTCTAAAAACTTGTCACTTTTAGCAATTTTTGTTCTGAACAGTAAGATAAGAACATGATGTTCTGTTTTACTGAAATATCCATTAGATGACAATGTATTGAGCCAGTGTCAGATTCAGCCCGTCAGATTGAGTTTACTGGAAGTCTAAAAACTCAACTGGTTTCAACTAGATCTAGCCAAATATTTGGACACCACCCCCTAAATAGTCACCTACTGACAAATGAAGTGAGCTGTAGCTCACGAAAGCTTATACTCAAATAAATTGGTTAGTCTCTAAGTCCTCCTTTTCTTTCTACTGACAAAATGTAGCTAGTGCCTGTCCCCAGAGAAATCTGCAAAAAGAAAAGGAGTACTTGTGGCACCTTAGAGACTAACCAATTTGTTTGAGCATGAGCTTTCGTGAGCTACAGCTCACTTCATCGGATGCATACCATGGAAACTGCAGAAGACATTATATACACACAGAGACCATGAAACAATACCTCCTCCCACCCCACTGTCCTGCTGGTAATAGCTTATCTAAAGTGATCATCAAGTTGGGCCATTTCCAGCACAAATCCAGGTTTTCTCACCCTCTGCCCCCCCACACACAAACTCGCTCTCCTGCTGGTAATAGCCCATCCAAAGTGACAACTCTCTTCACAATGTGTATGATAATCAAGGTGGGCCATTTCCTGCACAAATCCAGGTTCTCTCACTCCCTCACCCCCCTCCAAAAACCACACACACAAACTCACTCTCCTGCTGGTAATAGCTTATCCAAAGTGACCACTCTCCCTACAATGTGCATGATAATCATGGGAAATGGCCCACCTTGATTATCATACACATTGTGAAGAGAGTTGTCACTTTGGATGGGCTATTACCAGCAGGAGAGCGAGTTTGTGTGTGGGGGGGCAGAGGGTGAGAAAACCTGGATTTGTGCTGGAAATGGCCCAACTTGATGATCACTTTAGATAAGCTATTACCAGCAGGACAGTGGGGTGGGAGGAGGTATTGTTTCATGGTCTCTGTGTGTATATAATGTCTTCTGCAGTTTCCATGGTATGCATCCGATGAAGTGAGCTGTAGCTCACGAAAGCTCATGCTCAAACAAATTGGTTAGTCTCTAAGGTGCCACAAGTACTCCTTTTCTTTTTGCGAATACAGACTAACACAGCTGTTACTCTGAAACCTGTCAGAGAAATCTGGGAAGTCCCATGCATCCTGACATATGCCCTTAAAATGCTTAATCCAACAGCATCAGAAGCTACCTAGAGCCAAAGATATGGGTTTTTAAAACATTTTTGTGCCAAGCTAAGTCCGAATCAATTTTGAGAAGTCAATGTAGGCTCTGAAAATTTTGACCATAACTATCTGTGCAGCTGGTACAAATCATGGATTCAGAATTGAAGCTTGAAGAGCAAGCTTCAGCATGAGTTTTGGCCATGTTTTAGGAATTTTGGCATCTAGATTTTTCCAGATCCTTGTTACTGACTACATTTGATGAGTTTAGATAGTATGATTTTGAAGTCCAAGGACTTCAAAAATTGGTTGGCATTACAAATATCCAGCTTTTTCCTACACCCTCTGTTGGAAACCTAAAGACTGACAAAATGTGTGAACAGAGTTCTGCCTTCAACAGCACCAAGATATGGAGTTGGTCTAAAAACAAACTGAGATTTCCCTCTCCCCCCCGCATCAAAAAGGGATACAGTTTTTCCATGAAAGTTATCACAAGGTATTTTGTCCTTCTTCAACCAGCTCTACGGGAACAGTTTGGGAAAAACACATTAGAGGAATAGTATTACATTTCTACATATATAGGCTAATACTTACAATTTAAGTAAATGAAACTGGTTTTAAGCAACTACCCAAGGAACAAGCATAATGCCAGTTGCCTCTTTAAGGTTCACACAAGTTAGTCCCACACAGCTTCACATTGTAGGTATGTCCTTTAAAAAAGGAAGCTGGTCAAAAACCTTAGTCTATATTTTACAATACAAGCTGGTACACTAATCCAGTTGTTTTCAACCTGTGATCCACAGACCCCACAGGGTCCGCAGACTATGTCTAACAAGTCCACGAAAGGCTGCTGGTACCATAGAACGGTGGTTTTCAACCTGGGGTCCGCAGACTGTCTAAGATTTCCAAAGGGGTCCACAACTCCATTTGAAATTTTTTTGGGGCCCACAAACAACAACAGGTTAAAACACACTACGCTAGTCTGTATTATTCTTGTAACCACTACCTCACGTTCCAGTAAAACACACAACAGAGCCATCGCTCCTAGGCTTTACTTTCGGTTCTGCAACTCACTTATGGTAAGTCATGTCATGACTTTGTGCTAATCACTTAACGTCTGTGCCTCAGTTTCCCTAACTGTGAAATAACAATAGCATTTACCTACTCGGGATGTGAAAAGACTTAATAAAGCAACTTCTGGAAAATATTTAAGCTGCAGTAGCAGCCACCCTGTGCACTTTATCCGTAGGCAGGCAGCCCCTCCTCTGCAGGAGGTACAGCCTGCAAAGGCTCGGCCTACGCCGTGGGGGAGCAGGGACCCTCCAGGTAATGTAAGCAGGCAGTTAACTCCGTTATTTACACAGGCGGGTCCCGACGCAGCAAAGGGGTTTGCAGTGGGCAGCGCCCTCCCCTCCCCACACCTGCGTCCCCACTCTTCAACTGCCCCGCCCACTTAACTGCCCCCTCCGCTCCCCGCAACCGCCCGCTCTGGCCCCGCCCCAACCGGGCCCCGCCTCAGCCGCCGCCGCCCGCCCAGCGCTCCCCATCCGCCGTGCCCCTGCCCGCGCCCCCCCGGGCCGCCTGCCCTCGATCCGCCCCTTTCCCCATCACCAGACCACGGCGGCCCACTGCCCTAGCCTCGCTCACCGCCGCCCAGCCCGGCGAGGCCCCGCGGGCCACGGCCTCACTCACCGACCAGCGCTGAGGGTCCAAGCCCCGGGACCAAGGAAGGAAGCGGCTAGAACCAGAAAGCGGAGCAATAACACGGGCCCCCCTACGCTCCGCCCCCGAGCCCGCCCGCCTACCGCTCCACCCTCAAACGGGCGCAGCGGAGCATGCGCGAGGTACGCTCCGGGGCAGCCATGAAATTCCCGAGCGGGGATGTTCGTTTCGAGCAGAGGCGGATGAGGCCACGTGATCACAATTCCTCCTCCTCCCCCCCCCCAACTCTGCTACTTCAGAGACCCTACTTGAGCCTCGCCCCCAACGACGCTTCCCTCTAAAGAATGGGGGAAAGAGCAGAGAACCCAGCGGGCGGAACGGAAAGAGCGAGGTCATGTGTCCTACTCGGACACTAGCGGGGCTGACCGCATCCTGTCGAAACAGGGAGCTCTGGTCCCGTATGGCCCGGACATTGTTGCCAGCGGACCGTTTCCGGTCGGGCGCTCTCACTGAGTTTCCCAGGATGCGGGCGGGTCGGGCCAAGCACGGGGTGGCGCATCATGGCGACAGCAGTTATTATCCTGAGGCCTTTGCGCCGAGGCGCCGCCTGGGCGGGGAAGCGACTCCTGTCGGAGGCTGGAGGCCTGAGACGCGGCTGGCGGCGGCAGGCGCAGGTGGGGCGGGGGAGGTTGGGAGATTGAGCCCCGCGTGGGAGACGCACTCTGGGGACCCTTTCCCGCCCCTCTCCGCCGAGACAGTCACAGGCCAGCGCCCCGGCCGGGCCGCTGCCCCAGCCTGTCAGCCCGCCGGAGAGAGACTGTCTTTGCCGGACGGAGATTCTTCCAGGGGCCCGTCTCCCTGCCATTGAAGCCTCTTGTCCACCGCCCCGGTCTTTCCCCTGCAGGAGCCCCGCCGCCACCCCTTCCCGGTGTAAACCTGCGGCCCGCGGGGTTGGGCGCACTCGGGCCTCGCACCCTCTCTCATCCCCCTTTCTGGGTGGAGGGGGTCGGGCCGCGCTGCCATTGAGCCCTGTCCAGTCGCTGTTCTAGAATGTGCAGGTCAGGTGAAGACCTATTAGCGACAGGGCTGAAGACAAACACTAACCTGCCCCAGGTATCCCTTTTCTCAAACACTGCTGACTGTAGCACTGCAGCATATCAGGACGCCTGCTGCCCAGACGTTGCCCTTACTAGCATCAGCCCGAAACACAGCTGTGGAGCTCATGGCTAAAGCAATGCCTGATGTGACCCACTTCTTAGATGCCTTCTGTCCATCCAGACAATCCCAAACAGGTTACACATGGCTTGTTTTTTTCTGAACTGTCCTACGCTTGGTTCCTGGTTCACTATGGGTGGGCAGTGAGTGTTTTCTTGATGCCCTTGTTTCCCCTGCCTGAAGCTTCTACTTTTAGTGTCATGGCCGCGGGGGAAAATAATCTGCTTCCCTGTCACTGTTTAAGGTTTCATTTTTTCATGTGTGGCAACTGAATGCTAAATTGATGAGCCATGTAGAGAGGAATGTGAAGAAATAAATAGGAATTATTGGTGCCTACAGATGACATTCTGACTTCTAAAAAAGCTGGGTTTATGGTCTACAAAAGTAATAATGTTTTAGGGGTTGCTTGACTTAGGCCATGTCTACACTGCAAAATTATGTCAACCTAACTTACACTGGCATACAGCTGCCGTAGCAATTACATCACTTGTGTGTGTCTGCGCTTCACTCCTTTTGTTAACAGTGCATGTCCTAACCAGGAACACTTGTATCGATAGTACTGTCAATGGGGGGCATTGTGGTATAGCTCCTGAAAGCCAGTAACAGTTGACATAAGCAACACAGTGTCTACACTGCATTGGCGTAACTACATCGACCTTGACTCTATGATGCCTGTGGAAGTGAAGTTATTAAGAGAGCAAAGCAGGGCAGTTACATTGGCGGGAGCGAAATTTAGGTGTAGACACTTTCACGGTTAGGTTGATGTAAGATGCCTTGCATTGACTTAACTCTAGTGTAGACTAGAGCTTGGATTGATGTATGTTTGTTGTAGCATAAATAGCAAGTCAAGTTCTCACTTAAATTTTTGGTGACTTAAAACACACAAAACCATGACATTCTCAAATGCAAGTCTGGTAATGAGCAGATTGAGAAAAATTAACAAAGAGAGTCTGAATACAATTTGAGCATCAAATCAATTAAGAGATGAAGAGATCCTTCCAAGCCAATTCTATTTGTGGGTTTCAGGCAAAAGTATTAGGCTACCTGCAAAGTTTCCAATTACACTTGAAGTAGGAGGAAAATAACTCATAGTTTGACTCAGCCTTTATCGTTATGAAATTAAAACATGACACTTTTTGACTTTTTTCAAAGTTGTTGACTCATCAGAGCATATTCTAAATTCAGTTTTTACCAAACAACTTGTATATTCTTGCTTCTTGTTTTGTCTTGTATTCTTCGCACAATTAAACATAGTCAGTTACTTTTTGTTTTTTAATTCTTTCTTCATGTTAATAATACTAGGTTCGTGTTCCAAAGTGTTATAATGAATCAATTCCCAAAGCCCAGTTTCCTGTTTGCACAGTAAAAACCGAAATCTTGAAGTTGAAACCTTAGAACTGTTCCCATTATTGTTATTCTGTAACTTCTGAGAGCCTCTTGTGCACATAAGGTTGGAATGTAACGGCTGCTCCAGAGAGTTGCAGAGCAGCTTTGTCAAAAATTATAAACTTGCTTTATTTTTCTTTTCAGGTGTCTGGAAAATTAACTCTTTTCAGAAGAGGGCTTGCACTCTCAACAGTGTCTTATTTGAGTTATGAAGCTTACAACTCTATTTCTCACTTTGCCGTGGTTCATGCTAGCGTCAAAGGTAAAGCTCTATGAATTCAAATGTCCTGAGGTCATTCAGGTGCAGACTTGGCACTTCTTTACAGTACCAAAACTTTGAGAAGCATTTTACGTAAGGCTTTCCAATATCTCCACTGTAGGCTATTTTTATACAATCTGTTCAGCTGTAGGCTACCTTTGAACTCAATCAATAGTGAAGTTCTTGTTTAGCATGGCTCACGTCTCAGAAATATCACTAGGAGCATAGCCAAAACTTTGCTGTGTGGATAAGATAAGCTCTTGACACAGATGCTGTTCCTTTGAAGTCTTTGTTGGGAGATAAGATTGAATTTGGGATTCAGAATATAGCTATTAATCCTTGATTCAGCTGCAGAATAAGAATTTTAGTTTTTATTGGTACTAGTGGAAATCCACATCCTAGCTTATGTCAGCAGCATTGGGCTCATGATTTTAGCTAGAAATGGAGCAAAATGTCTTGGTCTGAAATGTAAGTGCTGGAATCTTTGGAAATATAGTAAAACCTTAAAGATTCAGTCTAAAGCCTCGTTTTAAGTAGTCTTTACGCATGTTATTCTGATAAAAATTAAATCAGTACAATGCTAGCTCTCTAAATGCTTCACAAGCTGCTGAATTTCTTGGAAATTTTATACATCTTTTTTTTTCAAATAAGCTCCAAATGAGGATTCTTGCAGAAGAAATAAACATTGTGCTCACTGCAGTAGAAACAATGATCCTCCATCTTCATACTCCTTTGTCTTCTCCCAAGTATTGAGGTGAGAGTTTTGCCTAAGTGCTGCGTCCTTTAGTGTAGTGTTTCTCAACCTTTTTGATACCAAGGATCGGCTTGCTGCCTTCCTAAACTGTGTCAGGGAGATCTCAGGGACTGGCACTGGTTGTTGCTTCAGTAGATTCCACTCTTCAGAGCTTCATCTTCCACAAGGTTTTAGAAATAACTAGAAATATTGGGCATATATTTATTTTTGCCTCCATTTAAACTATATTTATGTTAGGCTTCACTCTTTTAATAATTACAGAGTACTGGATTGAAAAAAGTGGCTGATGTAATTTTTAAAGACTATTATAGCTCTGAGCACATTATAAAAGAACCTACTGACAACCTTCTGTACACAATTACAGCAAAGCAGGAAAAATCAAGTGATCAGAGCTCTTAGGGCAAGTTAGCAGACGCCAAGCCAGATGAGAATTGCTCAAAATTCATGAAGGAATAGAAGATGGTATTTAACAGAGGGAAGAAAAACTTTTTAGAAAAGATTTGACTTGACAGCATCGCTTTTGAAATTTCAATCAACATATTAAATCCGGCAAGCATGTACTGACAGCTGTGGAGATGAAGAGAGAGTTTCCAGCAAACCTAAAATAATTAGTCATTTACTTCAGTAGTACTGAACTGAGTGGTAAATATTGAAAACAATGGAATTTGAGAGAAAAATGTCATCACTGTCAGAGGGCCTAATGGAAACCTGAAGCTTGTGGAGAAACAACTAGAAACCATGGAAAACGTATCTATTTTTAAACTTGTATGCTTAAGATTGCTTTTGGCTTTGAGGCCCTCTTCATTATTACATTTATACCTAAAATACTGGACTTCGATATTCTTTATATGTGGTGAAAATGTCATTGAATTCTGAAGAGAAGTGGCAAGAAAGCAACAGCTAAAGGAACAACAGTAGCTGTATTAAGGGGCCCATGTTACTAGAAGAGGAATCAGAAGGCTGTCTGGCTGAAACAAGCCATTTCTTATCAAAGAAATCAAAACATTTCCATTAGGTTTTACCCCAGGGCTACCCAAGGACACTTAAATAAATATTGTCAAAAATAAACTTTTGCCCACGAAAGGTACAATCTGCAGTACTTTATTAGGTCATAGTCTAGCCCTTCTGTAAGGGTAAGGCAAGTTCTGAAATACTGAGAGCATCTCAGTACTTTGAAATAGGTAAAGACCATAGTTAACTCAGTCATAATTCCTAACTGCAGTTTTAGTTTAACAAGTCTGTGCTGCATCTGATTCATATTTTATAGAAATATTCTTGTTCTGTAAACCTGTGAACGTCTAACAGTCAAGATTAAGGAGCCAGAATGTTGTATTTGTATCGCGACTAGCCATTTTATTCTCCATATCTCTACAAATTAGGCACAGTAAGTTGTCTTGAAGGTTAATATGAAATAAGAGAAATAAACTGGAAAATATTATTTGATAGCAAAAAAAAAGCAATTACAAGCAATCAGTGTATTGTAAAATCCACATAACAGCAAATAGCGTTGTAAGGCCTATCTCCTTTGATTTTCTGTTTTAGAAACTAATACATGATTGAAAAACAAACAAGCGTACATTTTTCATACCAAGCAAGTATTTCTATGTTACTTAAATGTATTTTTATTTTATTAAATATTTTCTGTAAAATATTTTATTACTACTGTAGAATCTGACTTCTCCCATCAGAGGGGAAACTAATTTAACTCAAATTATTCACAGAAATGTGCTGATATTCCTATAAAAACTCTTGAACAAAAGTCAGTAATCATTTGCTATGTTAACTTATGCCTTCCTTTATTAATAAAAAGTACAAACAATATTTACCAATGGTCAAGGAAGAAACAAAAGAAATGTTATTTTTAAGCATCTAATAGGGGCAGTGCAAACAATGGAAGAATGAAAATAAGCCCTGAAGTTTTTGACAGTGTCTCCTTAAATGAATACTTGTTGCCAGTGAAAGATGTTGGAGAGGATGCTTATCATACAATTTAGTTCATAGCTAGGTCTGAGGTTTGACAGAGTAGACTCTTGACAGCCTTTCTCTCACAGAACAAAAAAATTTGAAAAATTTTATAAGTGAATATTCAAAACTCTTCAAAGAGATGAACACCAGTGGATCAAATAATAGAATATTCACATAAAAATTGAAAATAAGGAAATGGACATTTAAGTACTAGACAAGAACATAGGTAATTAGCCTTTGAAAAGCCAAAAAAATTAATTTCATAAAGCACATGTATGAATGGAGGTAAAAACAGAAAAGTGCCTTAGTGGCTACATAAAGAGCAGCACTCAAGCTGTAAATACAAACTATGGGATAAATCTGGGAAATTAATAATGGATCCAGATTAAGATACTTCATTATTTATCAGTTGTTATGGCCATCTGAATACCAGGTACCTATAACAGAAATAAAAGCATGTAGCTAAGAAACCTACTTACACTTTACATAGACAAATTGGAGCTGGGGTGGGAGTGGGGGAAACGAAGTCTCCAAAGCTATATAACATCTTCACTTGAGGAAAGCACCTGGAGTGGGTGGTTTTGCACCAAAATATTGTGCATTCTAGACCCAGATGACCCTTTACTTATGAAAGTATTCAGCTACAAAATTGAAAAAGAAAAATCTCCACAGTTTAATTTAGGTACAGGCTAACTGTCTTTCAAACCAAATCAAGATTCAGTGAAGGCTTGACTCTTGTAGATCACACGTCTCTTGTTAAAACAGGATTATAAAACTTTCATAAACACTGCAGTTTTAAGGATTGAGAAAGTAATTGTGGCTAATCCTGTAAAACACAATGGTTAATTTTGAGTATTTTCATCAACTTCAATAGAGTATTCATATCTTAAAGTTATACATCTATGCAAATGTTTTTGGTAGAATCAAAGGCCCTAAATTTGTATATTTGGATCAGAAGAGGCTTAGTCACATGGAAGACTTTAGTAGAATAAAAAGCATAATTGAAGAATTAAGAAGAAGAGAGCTAGGCAGTCTAGATACTGGGATGGCCTTTGACCAGGATGAAGTTTCCTTCTAGCAACAATTTAAAAACCCAACAATGGTTGGATGTGGTCATTCTTTTAAAAAAAAAAGATTAAATCAAAATATAACAAACCTATGGCAAAAATAGAATTATCAGATGGAACACCTTGTTTTTAATTAGGAAGAGGAACCTAGGCAAGCTACTCACATTCTTTCATGTCTTTTATTTATGATCATGGTAAAAATCTGCACCATATTTGTATATCAGTTTGTGGAACACAACTATGTTTTATTCGCATAATTATTCTGTGATGTGAATGAGTCTTATCCCACCATTTCCATTATCAGAAATTTAAACTTTGGAAGGTTATGATACAGAATTAATATGGGGAAAAAGAAAAATGTTAAACTTATTATTTGGGATAGCAACACCATTGAAGACAAAACACAAATTGAAATTGTCACCTTTTAAGATATTTAGTAAATATTAAACTCCTTAATATTATTAATTGAATTAAACAACTCTGGTGGCCAAAATATGGAAAGAATCCTGGAGAATGGTACAGCTCCTAACTTTCCAGGTTGAAAATGTGGAAGTATATTCATTTTTAACATATTTATCTTTTTTACTTAAATCGAACCTGTGACACTTTTTGTTCCTGTTTCAAAAACACTAACGTCATGTATTTGCTTTGTGCGGGATGATAAATAATAAGAATAACCAGGCAAAGACCTATATCTTCATATATAAGCGCTAGGTATTTATTATGATATAGAGTGGGGGACTTGCCGTTACTGGGAATGCAGGCTGTGCTAAACCTATTTAGGAACCTACAAAGTAAACCTGGAAGAGCTCTGTGGGGGGGGAAATGTGGTATTAAAACCAAAAATTTATGAGACTCTAGTTTTAAAAACCAGGTGCTTGTGCAACTGCTAAGGGCTTAATTCAGCAAAACTTCGATAAAGTGGCAAGCTGCGCTGAAAAGCCCAGTTTGGGTTCATTTAATAACATTTTCTCCAGTTTCATTGTCTGTGGCCTCATGCATGTTACAGTGGTACTTTGATTAACTGAACTGTGGAGCCCTTATCTCTGATTGCCAGAACCTACAATATTTTAAAAAGCATTATGTCACTGACGTATCTTAATACTTTTGAATTATTTATATGTGCTGCTGGTTTTATACAAAACAATGATTTAAGACTGAAAACATAAGTCACCCTGCAACAAATTATGAAGATAATACATTGAAGGATCAGTCCAATACTAAGTGACCCTTACTGCATTCATCCACTTTGTCTTGCTGTATTTCAGTCCCTGGCGTCCCACATGCTCCATGTTCCAATCACTTAGGATATGTCTACACTGTGACTGGACATCCTTGGCTAGCCTGGGTCAACTGATTCGGGCTTGTGAGGCTTGGGCTAACAGGCTGTTTAATTGCGGTGTAGATGTTCGGGTTCCAGAGCTCAAGCTCCAGCCCGAGCCAAATGTCTGCACTTCACTTAAGCTGACCCTTGGCCTGAGCCCTGTGAGCCCAAGTCAGCTGACCGAGGCCAGCCATAGGTTTTTAATTGCACTGTAGACAAGTCCTTATCACCGGAAATTAAACCAAACACGTTCTGTTCTGCCATTGTGAGGTCATCAGACTAACATTCTAAGATCTGTTACACTTCTAACACTGTCTGTTGCTAAGGGCTGTTTTATAGTTTCATAGAGTAATATTTTTTTAATGTTGTTTCTGTTCCCAGAAGCTGTTCATTGAAAATAAACAAAGCTGGTACAATTCTGTATCCCATGGCTGCTAAAAGTTAGTATATAGGTAGCCAATTTGAAATTGGAAACACTTGATATTTTTTAGGAAATAGTTGTTTGATCCCGTCTTTAGTACTGATTTTTTTTGTACTGATTTTTTGTGTTTCAGGGTACTTTGGCGAACAGCAAGTTGTATTGTTGTACTTTGAAATATATTGTTGCTTATCTGGTAGGCTATCGTATTTATTAATCTTTTTGTCTTCTCTTTCTACCATCCCTACCCCTTTTGAAGTTGAGGAAATCATAGAGCAAGCAGACTACCTGTATGGGAGTGGAGAAACTGAAAAGCTCTATCAGTTGCTGACCCAGCACAAAAGCAGGTATTTAGCGGTATTGAATATCCCCACATTATTGTGACTTAAAATTTATGAAGTGCTCCTTTATCAGTTTATGTTAACTAATACAGTAAGTATGATAGCACTGAGCACCCAGCTTGCACCTTTTTGCAGTAAGAGAGAAAATCTCCTGAATTTTCTTCCCTTTCAATGTAGAAGGAAGGACCTGATTCATAGTCGGGCTCAGTTTGGGCAGCAGAGGGTTAGCACTCGGCTGGCTTTTTCCATTAGTACAGGGTCCCTGAGAATAATGTTCTTATAAGGAAGTTGGTGGATGACACTCTGCTTTCCCTAGTATATGTTAGAAGGTTAAATACAGACCCTAATGTGCAAGTATCCTAGTAGAGATGTGGGACAGAGAGCAGTAGTACTACTTCATCCTAATCCCCCTAGCAACTGAATGGTGTCTCTGTGGGCTTGGAGGGGGTGAGGGGAGAGAGGTCACTGTGTTACAGAGCTGACAGTGTGTTTGCTACTGTACAAAACACACAGACAGGGTTTGAATAACCTGCTGGCCATAGACAAATAGAAATTTTGCCAATATGAGTGGACGGAGTCAGTTCTGGGAGGTTCTGACTCCTTTGCTGGAGGGGAGGGAGGGAGAAAGAAAGAAGGGAACAGAGTGGTGAGTGGTTCAAGCATCCCAGCTCCTGTAACAGAAGTACAGGGAACAGAGCAGCCTTTGAACCTTTTGCTCTTTTTCAATAAGAGAAGAAAGTGATAGAAAGCAGAGTGGTAGGACCATCTGTTCTTTTGTGCAAGGGTGGTGGAGAAGCAGAGAGGCTGGGACCTGAGAGGAGGTGGAGCAAAGTGGCCCACAGGGAGAAAGGAGCCATGCAAAGAAAAGAGGTGGGTGGGAGGGGGAAGATTTCGCTAATGGGTAAGAGAGGAACACTTAGAATTCACTAATGGAATCAAGAGGAGTGGGATAAGACAACCAGTATTTATGTATTATTAAATCAGGGAAAGAGCCCAAACTTCATGTATTGAGGCAAAAATTCTCCCAACTCTGTAGGAGCATTCCTGCTCTTTTTCACTGTACTGCTCATCAGCTCTTTTCTTCTTTCTTTTATTTCGCTTCTGCCAAGGAAGGGGTTCTTGACCACAGAGAGTATTGCTCCTGCCCATATGTCTTAGTTGGACAAAAAGAAAAGAACATTGTGCAGGCTGGGACAGGGCTGTTTAAAGGAAAAAGCAGAGAACCCTCTGAGGTTTTTCTTCAGAATGCCCTCCTTCAGGGGAAGGGGTGGCTGGCCAGCCATCTCTTTCTTGTGGATTAGATGTACCCCAGGGGCTTTATGGAGGAACCTTGGGAGCTGGGCTGGGTTGTTTCCACCCCATCAGAAAGGGCAAAGGAGTGGTCACAGAGAAACACCAAGTCATAAGGAAGCTGAAAATTCTCTTAGGAGGAATGCACAAAAATTATAGGAACAGCTTGGAGATTGAGTCACTTAGTCCTAAGCTAGGTCAGTACCTAGAGCAGAACTATCCAGTAAACAGATTAGTAATGCCATATTTAATACCTTGCCAGAAAAACATTTTGTATTGAGGTTCTAAACTTAACTATCATTTGTTTGACAATGTGTTAGAAACTGCCTGTTTTTTGATACCCAGCATTCCTATTTCTAGATTCGGCTTCTCTACCCACAGTCTCACAATAATCGCTGACTTTTGAAACGTTCATAAATTGTTATTTAATCTTAGAGTTCAAAATAGAAAACTTTAGGCAGCGTATCAAAACTGAGGAATTGTATTTAACTAACAAACTCATTGATACTGTTATCTTTGTAAAATGCAATGAACACCAATGGCACAATTCAAATCTGGGTATATGCAGTCAAGTGACATAGCACTTTAAATTGAAAGTAACTAATAAAGCCTTTCTAATGTTTGTCATTTTGTTGTGCTAGAGAGGATTTTTCCTATTTAGTTATTGGTAACACCTATAAGGGGAATCATTACTCTCCATACTCAGAGTAGCAGAATCGGTGCCAGAATTCTGTTTTTAGATAGTGATTAAGAAATTTACAAAAATAAAAGGTACACATCTTTTTCTCATTAAAGACATCCCCTATACTTTTACATAGTCCCAATTTGATGTTTCACAGAATATGGCTGGCATTCCAGGAAACTAGGAAGGTTGCATCAGAGTTGGTTGAATAAGCTGAACAGGACATCTGTCTTGTTCTTAAATTATTGTATGTTATTCCTTCTCTTATAAATTGTTTCTTATATTTTCAATCTATGCTGTTTCCCACCTTTTATATTATCACATGCTCCCATTGTATCCAGTGCTCAATGAAGTTAACTAGGAACCCACTATTAAATGAGCAGGCTCATTGTGAGGTCACATGCTTAGGAAGAGTCTGTTACTGCCTGCAGTGCTGTTCAATTGTAGGGAAATAATGATAGATTTGGAGAGTAGCTGAATAAGAACAATAATAAGTATAAAAGGTTACCATGTTTATTATAATGCAATATGTCTTCAAAGGTTTCTGATAGGTTCCTTTTGTGTGTTTAAAATATTTCTTCTGGGTATTTATCTACTAGGGTGTCGTCAGGAGGTTGACTTGTAGCAGTTACTAAGATAACTGTTAACTCCTTACATGTATAAAAACTGATCTGTAACATTCGCTCTCACTTTGCTTTTGACCTCTTTGACGTGTGCAAGTATCAACATCGGGAAATAAGTGTGAAGTGACCAGTTGTCACTGGGGTTGAAACAGGTTTTTTTCCCATATAATTTTCTAATTTCTTAAAAATGGTCATATTATGTATTGGGGTGGGGGGACTTCAGACCTTTGGAAAACTGGGGCTTCAGAGAAGTCAGGAACATGCACAACAATGAGCACAATTAGAAAGCGAACAAGCATCACATAATCAGTATGCACTATTATTTGTATAGTATCACCAGTGAACAGGACACTTCACAATAAGTGCATGGTGTCTAACATAATAAAATTCTCTTCAAGCAATTTATAGTCTAAAGTCACAGCCTGTACAATGCAACACAGCAATCCAAAGTAATGGGTGACACTAAGTTTGAATGCTTCCTGGAACAGGTTTTTAAGAATCTTTCTAAAGAAAGGGATGAATGGCATGAAGGAGGTGAGGGGAGTGTTATAAGAATTTGAGGCAGCATGAAAGACAGCACAAAGGCTAGTGGGTAAAGGAGATGGAGAACAGTTTGAGATGAAGTGCACAGTGACAGTAGAGAGTAGAAGGGGATGGATGGGCGGGCATAAGAGAAGACATAGGCAGAGTGGACTTTTGGAAGCTTTTGAAAGCACAGCATCTAATTGCAAAGCTATTACAAAGAACGGGGGAAGCTAGAGTAGATACTCAGGTAGGTGGGGTAACGTGGTCAGAATGGAGGATAATCTTGACAGCTACATTTTGGATGGCCTGAGTTAGGAAAAGGGAAGGCCAGCAAGGAACAGGGTTATGTTAGGTTTTAAAGATAATTGTACAGATTGTATATTTGTTTACTTAAACCGTTAAGTGCATACTACTGTAATTAAAGTGCATATGTTGAATCTGAGTAGTTATAAGAAGGGTACATACTGCTATTCTGAGGTGAGCAGGTTTTAAAGGGTGTATGTGCAGCTCATGGAGCCATATAAGTACCAGGCCCTTAGAATAAAAATGAAAAAAAAATCCAACTTTAATTTTCATTCTTTGTATTTGTTGTTTTCACTCTTGGTTTTAGTCAGTTTCACTTGTCCAGGGCTGCAGTGTTTTGAGTTCTAACATAGTAGGAGACTGTTCATTTGACACAGTCTTTCCACTGAGAGTTTTTAATGAAACTCTGAAACATTTTTATTTTGAACTTTTGCAAGTGCTTATAGTACAAAACCTATAGCAATAAGGTTGATACATAATACTGCATTTGCTGCTGAAACCAAATGAATATTGGAAAATATATAGTTTAGGTCAGAAGTAAATGTTGCTTTCTTTATTTTCCTTCCTGTCTCTTTATTTTAAAGGTGGTATATGTGAATTTTGCATCAATTTAAAAAAAAAGAAAAGCTGCTTCCTATGGTGCCAATAGGATTATTGCTTCACGGATCAAAAGTGTTGCCAAAGTTTCTTCAGCAAATCTGCTGTGACTGAGATCTCGTATTTGTGACTGAGATCTCAGCCTTTCGTTACATGTGGTTTAGAATTGCACATAGTACAATATTACCTTAGTGCTAAGCTGAGCAGTGTAGTAAGTGATTGATTTTAGACCTGCACTTGCTTTGTAGACAATTAATATTTCTGTTATGTTTATAACTAGTGAGGATGCGGAGATACTATGGCGTCTAGCACGGGCCTCACGTGATCTAGCCCAACTCAGTAGCACCTCTGCAGAGGAGAAAAAGCAACTGGTTTATGAAGCTCTTGAATATGCAAAGAAGGCACTGGAGAAAAATGAGTCAAATTTTGCAGTACACAAGGTGAGCCAGTCAAAGTAATTTAATTGAAATGTTGCTATCCACTATCCTGACATCTGTCAGTAGAAACAGGAGTGACTATGGTTTTGCTGTAACCTTTACAGCTATAAGGTTATCTGGCAAACTTGTATGCTGCTTTCTTCAATGCACAATTTGTTAGTTTTTTAGTTGAGAGCCAGGAGAATTTGATGACCACTTTCTAAGAGGACCAGCACTTGGATTCTTGCAGATTAAATCAAACTCATATGCAGAAAATGACTGTTGGTTAGCTCTGTCTACAGGACCACAGAGGCAGATGATTGGTCAGAGGTCTTGATGCCTGAACTATTCCCTCTTTATCAGCCTGGAAAATGCATCACAGATCCATTCTGTTGCCTCTGTGCCACGGTAGTGACTCTGCTGCAAGTTCCAAGGGTTCCTGGGTCTGCCCTCCTTTTCTTCTCCTGTTCCTCTTCTCTCCTCAGTAGCCCAGACCCAGATGTTAGGAGAGGAGTAACTAAGTACAATCAGTGTTGCTGCAGTGCAAATTAGTGATAGTGAGGCCCTGGCTCCTCCCATGACTGTGGTCAGCTGTGATGAGGGAATGTTCTTCACACCATTAAAATTATCCATTATAATTACAGTTCTCATAAGCAACCAGTAGTGCTAATTAATCAACACTTTAATAAATACTTTTTTTTTAAATTTGAGTAATATTGTTCTGATCACTTGGTGACAATAATTGTATTTTAATTAGCGCTATTAAATATTCTTTTAATGACCTGTTTTGTTTTGAATTTAGTGGTATGCAATCTGCATCAGTGATGTTGGAGATTATGAAGGAATCAAGACTAAAATTGCAAATGCGTATGTTATCAAGGAACACTTCCAGGTATTGTAAATAAGCATTTTCAGTATGATAGTATCAATATATTTCATTTTAGAACAATGGTTTTCACATGCTGGGTAACAGCCCCCAGAAGGGTGGGTCACCAGCTGTTTTCTGGGGGTGGACAATTGCAATTCTGTGTCTGATCTTCCAGTCATACCAGTTTTCTCAGCAACCTGCAAACTGATCCTCAGGCACCAGAAGTGTCAGTGTGGGTTAAAAAAAATAGATAAATGAGGGCAAAATTAGCCCAGCAATTGAAACTTAATCAGCAACTCTTTTGCCTGCGTCCCCTTAATAACTTTCTCAGTGGCTCATATGCACATGCAATGAGAGGTGATAAAATACAGTCCTGCAGTAAATTGCATCAGAGCCTTGGCACAGAGAATGTTTTCAGTTGGTTAATTAAAGGCTAGTCTTACCTGCTTGTTGCACTTGGGCTAGGAGAGGAGGTAAGGCCATAAGAAGCATCTTTCCATGCCAGCCTGTATGCAGGGAGCAGGCTAAGATCCCTCCTTGTGTTCAGATAGTTGTAAAACCTACACGCCCAAAGTAGTGTAGTCTGCCAGCTATCTGTATCCTGCTCCCTCAAATCAGTTACTGTGTATGCTGCTGTCAGAAGCATGTGCTAGTACGCCACTTCTTTCTAAAAGTTGCAGCAAGGCCCTACTGTGCATCTTCCAGAGGCACCCAGCGATGTCTGTCACGTTCTGGGATGCAATCCGGAGCAGCGAGGGGTTGTGTCACCGCCTTTCCTGTAACTCTGGGTGCTTGAGATGCCCTGCTGCTGTGGGTCATGACCTGAGTGCTAGCAGACAAGTATGCAGGTCACATGAAAAATATATCTTTGTGTAGCTGTGGGCATTGTGTTCTTCAGTTGCTTTCCAGTAAGATAAAAAAATCTCTAAATGGAAGGTGAGGACTGTTGAACCCTATATGAGCTTCTGAAACTAGTAGAGTGTATATATAGGCTTGACCTTTGCTATTGCAAAGTGAGTGTATCATCTTAGAATGGTCTTTGGCTGCTGGTCACCATGGGCTCTTTCAGTGGAGATTGTAGCTATTGAAGGACAAATATTGGAGAAAATACAGCACAATAAAGACCTGCTGAGGCATCGCATGATTTTACTTGCTGTCAGAAGCTGTATCAAAACCTGAACGTACTGACTTGATCAAACACTTGAAAAAAGGCTCTTTAGACATAAAGATAAGGAGCTCAGATTAGATTGTGAATACCAAATACTGTACCTCCCTGCAGTTGTTTCTATTTCACACCGATGAAATAGAAGGAGACAACTATGGGTGCATTTTTTGGTGTTCTTAAGCCAGATCTGGTGAAACAACCTTTTACATCTCCTCTTTTTTTTTTTGCTAGAAAGCCATTGAACTGAATCCTAAAGATGCTACCTCAATTCACCTTATGGGCATTTGGTAAGACTGATAATTTCTTCAAACCAGAGTTAGCTTGTGACAAAAAAGAAAAGCCTCTAGCACTTTTATTTGTAGGTGGAATATAAAATGTTTGAGCAATGTTAAATGACTTGCAGAAATGTGTAGAGCAGCTAAATGACTTGAAATCCACTCATGAAAATCTTTTGAAAGTTGTCCTGAGTTATTTGAAAGACTCTGGCCATCCAAGTTTTAATATAACTCCGAAGGTGAAACTAACTGCTCAGTGACCTTGTTTTAGTTCTAATTCATTGGAATACAGAAGAATAAGTTGCAGACTTCAGTTTATTTTCACAGCAGGCACCAGAAATTGAGGACACTATTAATAGAGTGTTTCTGAGTGTCTGCCTCAGAGGTGTTGGGAGTGTCAAACTCATAGTGCCTTTTGCCGTTGACTTCAAAAGAGACAGAGTTTAAAATTTAAATGTATGCTATGAATTAAAGTGCTTGCGAAGATTGGTGTGAGGGCAGATAGGACGGATTGATATTCTGAAACAAAAAATGTACACTGTCATGCTATCTAAATATGCTATTACATTTTTAAGAACTCTCTGAATTTTTATTTATTTTAGCATTAATGTGAGTCTGAAAATGTAGAAGGAATGAGAATCAATCTGATTGTCACTGCCCATCATTGATGAATGGGAGGTGAAGAGCTGGGAATTTAACTTTAGTACGAACACCACATGTTGTGCAGAAGCACCTTGGCTGGACACCTGGCAATTTTCTCTGTCAGTGAGTGTGTGTACACTAGATGCATCAGTCAGAAGAAAGCATATGAGAGAGAAGCTGTGAAGGAGAGAGAGAGAGAGCTAGCCTGAGAAACACAGGAGACAGAAAAAATCCATTCTACCTGAAAAATCTGGGCCAGCTGTGACCTGTATAGCCACATGGGGGCTCCCTTTCCCCATTCCCATTGTGTCAGTGCTTTTTCTGAAATGTTCTCACACGATATTGAAAGCTTGTGGCATGTTTTGAGTCCAGATGCAGCGCTTCCTCCTCCTTTTTCTAGATCTGTCAGAGAGCCCAAAGCCACTTAGCACTGTACAAGAAATCTTTAGAATGCCATAGTATGTCTACAGTGAAAAAACCCACCAGCCACAGTGAGTCACAGCCTGGGTCAGCTGACTTAGGCTCACGCTACTGAGCTAAAAATACCAGTATAGACATTTCTGCTGGAGTGGGAGCCTGGGATCTGAGATCCACCCCTGTTACAGTGTCTCAAAGTCCAGGCTCCAGCTTGAACAGGAACATCTACAGTGCTATTTTTAGTCCCACTGCATGAGCCCACAAACCTGAGTCAGTTGACCCAGGCTCCTGAGTCTTGGGTTTGTTTTTTTATTTTTCTGTGTAGACGTACCCACAGAAGATGATGAAAGTGAAGAGGATAAGAAGGGATTTGTAGAATCAGTGCCAAGCCCACCAATTGTTCCTTGCAAAGGCTTATTTCTGGTCTCCCTTGGGAACCTAACAAGGTCCAGCTTTCCACCCTAAGTTTTTTATGATCTTTTCCTACTTGCCTTTCCTAAGTTACAGCCTGTCTGCACCACTAGCTCCAAAGTAGTCTGACTTCCTGGAGTAGTCTGAGAACTTATTTTTCTGAGAACTGTTGCCACCCAACACTCTGGGGGACCCTACAGGCCAGCTCTGAGGCAGCCTCTTGTCGTTCAGACATCTAGAAGTGGTAGGGATTGCCCAGCGTGAGCCCCCTGAGCCCGACTCAGTTGACCCAGGAAAACTGTAGGGAAAAGCTGAGAAGAGGGAATTGTGTGTCACTACTTGGGTAGTGAAGTACTGCCGAATTGTGTCATTTTTGTTCTGAGAATTGGGAGTCCCTACATTCCTATCACATTGGGATTAAAAATCTCAGTAAATTATTGGATCAGTTCCTTCCTCTCGCTCCCCTTCTCTTTCATCCTGCACTGGCATCACAAATGTTTGCCAACAGCATTCTACCAAGGCTTTGCTACTGTACCCCATTTGGGTGTCTACTTTCCAACACTCAGGCTTAAATAAGTTTCTAGACCTTTACCACACCTGTTCCCTCCCCCTCCCCCAGAAATCAGGCTGCATGTTCATATGAGGAATTTCAAATATTGTTTTCTTAACAAATCAAGGCTAATCGTGTCAGATGTGTTTCTGGAATATGGTGTTACAAACATTATCAATATTACGTATGCTGCACTTTACATGTTTAAAACTCTTTACAAATGTTAACCCTTATAGCTTCCCCATGGGCAAGTAATGACTGTTTCCATTCTGCAAATGGGGAAAGTGAGGTAAGGAACAGGGACTTAATCAACTGGCGGAGCCAGGATTAGAACTCAGGAGTTTGACTCGTAGTCCTGTACTCATGGCTGTAGAACATATAGGCTCTCAAGAGTACTGTTTGGGGTTTTTTTTAATTAAGTAATCAAGAGGAGCAAGCTAATGTTTAGGTCAGGCTGACATTCAGTTTTATATGGTTATTACAAAAATTTTCAAATGCACAAATGCATACAGTATATGGTTAAATTACTGTAGTAAAAGCCATAAGGCTGGATCTGGATGGAGTGATAGCTTTAACTACTTGATTTTTCTCAGTAAAATCAAGCTATAGGCTATGTTGTAAACTTTGTGCTAAAAGTTGGATTTTTATCTTTATTATGCAGTAGCGATTAGCAGCAATGGAGGCGCTAAACTTCTTTAGCAGAGTGGTTATGTCTTCTACAACAATTGTTTCAATTTGTTTTTAATTTAAGTATCTTATTGTAATTACTCATTCAAAGACCAAATAATATCATTGCAATTATTCACAATTGTGGGTTCTTGGCAGGATGACAAACTTTGACATTTGGGGGTTCTTCAACTCCCTAAAAGTATGAACCTCAAAATAAAGGAGACATGTGAAATATATAAAACCTTTTTGCTTTTGCTCCAGGTGTTACTCATTTGCTGAAATGCCATGGTACCAAAGCAAAATAGCTGCAATGCTATTTGCAACACCACCAACCTCCACCTATGAAGAGGTACTATATGCAAATATTTGTTCCCCATAGACTTTTCTTAGCAAAAACAAGAAGCCACTAACACAGGGTGGGCAAATTTTTTGGCCTGAGGGCCACATCGGGGTGGGGAAATTGCTTGCAGGGCCATGAATGTAGGGTTGGGGTGTGGGAAGGGCTGCGGTGTGCAGGAAGGGGCTCAGGGCAAGGGGTTGGGGCATGGAGTGCGGGGGGGCTCAAGGAAGGGGATTGGGGTGTAGGAGGGGGTGCACAGTGTGGAAGGGGTCTCAGGGCAGTGGTGAGGAGTGCAGGAGGTTGGGGTGCAGGGTTTGGCGGGGGCTCGGGGTTGGGGTGCAGGGTGTGGCAGGGCGTTCGGGGCAGAGGGTTGGGGTGCAGGAAGGGTGCGGCAGGGGGCTCAGGGCAGGGAGTTGGGGTGCAGGAGGGGTTCAGGGTGCGGGCTCCAGCCCGGCACCGCTTATCTGGAGCGGCTCCGGTGTGGCAGCAGCGCGCACCAAGGCCAGGGCAGGCTCCCTGTCTGCCTGCTCCGGCCCCCCCGCTGCTCTGGGAAGCGGCCGGCACCATGTCCCTGCAGGCCCTGGGGAGGGGGCGCAGAGGGCTCTGCGCTCCTATGGGTACCTCCCCCAAAACTCCCATTGGCCAAGGTTCCCCGTTCCCGGCCAATGGGAGCTTCAGGGGAGGTACTCACAGGCAAGAGCAGCGCGTGGAGTCCTCTGCCCCCCTTTCCCCAGGGGCCGCAGGGACGTGGTGCCGGCTGCTTTCCGGAGCAGCACGGGGCCCACGGCAACACGGGGGTGGCAAATTCACAGGCCGGATTCAAAGCCCTAAGGGGCCAGATCTGACCTGCAGGCCATAGTTTGCCCACCCCTGCACTAACATGTACTAGTAATAATTGTACTAATAAAGCTCACCTTCCAGAAGTGCTCAGAATGCTGAACAATACAGATGCAGTCATATACAAAATTGTACTGATGGATTAAATATAGATTTGGAGCTGATGAAGTTGACTTGTTAGAAATATGCAAGATTCCATGTGAAAACAACAAACGTTAATTTGTTTCTTCTCAAGTCAGGCTTTGTCTAGAACAGTCACAAAGTGACTAATGACATTATTTTCTAAGAAATATCCTTTTGGACTGTGGGGCTCTGAAAGCTTGATATTAGGTCCATAAGAAATACATGCAGAGACTACGGTGAGAGCCTCCAATTTATTTTCCATTGGTGACATACAGTAAAAAGGAGTTATCTTAGTTCATTAACCTATTGAACCACCTTCTCTCAAATGTATATGATTTAATGAGAGATACACACAAGGGGCAGCTGAGAATTAACCCCCAAACCTCCACATAGCACATAAAGTGGTGCATACTCAGACACACATTATCATTAGGACAGACCACAGATAATTGTCTGTCTAGGTTCCAATGCAGCTCTCTTCACCATGATATCTGAATACCTACATATTATTTGACTTGATACTTAGTATTTTTATTTTCATTTTCATTTCCTTCTATGAAAATAAAATGCTTCCCTCTGATTTTGTCATTTTTCATAAGCAAATATTTCCTCTTCATCCTCATGACTGTTTAACTACTTGAGTTTTCCTCCAGATTGAACTTGAGGTATCTTTGTCCTCCACGGTCATGTGATTTTTGTTTTTTATATCATGTTTTATTATACACGTGTAAAGGTGCCCATCTTAATAAGATCTCAGAACCAGTATTATTTCCCTCCTACCGTTTTTTTTTGTTTGTTTTTTGTTTTTTTTAATGTATGAAGAAACTGAGGTCCGGAGAGTTTGTGACTTGCCCGACGCCACACGGGAAGTCTGTGTCATAACCAGGACTACATCACAGTTCTCCTAACTCCAGGAGCTTTTAAGTACTAGAGCACGTTGCCTGCTGTATAAGGGCTTGCCCACACAGAGAGTGTGTGACAAGCTGGAATATAAATATACCTTACACTTGCCTGAGATGCACTGCACGTCTGTGCGGAGCGTGCGGCCCTGCACTAGAAGTTGCCTACTTCAATTTCAAAGTGGGGTAGATCAAAGGGAATTTTTCGTACACAGCAATAGTGTCCTCACAGACAGTATGTGGCAGGTTAGTACAAGGTAGATTTGCTCCCCGGTTTGCTGTGGACTAAGTATTCATATAGACAAGCCCTCTTGTACTTAGGATAGTGGTGGCAGAATTGTTTTCAGCCTAATCCAACCAGAAAGTATCTGTGGCTAGCTTTTTTTTTTTTTTCTATTCAACTATATAACTTTGGTCAGAGTTAGCTTAGGGATCCCAAAAAAACTATTAAATCACACAAAATGTATTACATTTTTAGTTGAATAATTCGGTTTTGAAAATCCTATCAGGCCTTGCTCTTAGTGAACAAATCTAAATTCCTGCAGCTGTGTTCAGGTTTTCTGTTGGAACAGGCAGAATTTAGGCCATAACCTCTACTAAATAATGTCCCCTTCCCCCCCGCCCAAAAAAAAGCACTAGGAAAGCAGCTGCAAGAGATTTGCTGCCTTGCAGAAAGCTAATTTTTGTTGCTTGAGTTCTAATTGAAAAAGCAAATAGGCTTTTGCAACTGAAAATGAAGCTTATAAAGTGGCCACTAAATCTCAGTCCTCAGAAGAATAAATCCAAAATGTTAACCAGGATTTCATAGTATTGCTGAATTCTGCAAAACCAGGCACTGGGTTTTGTAGTGCTTTAAAAATGAATAGAGTGTTAAGTATGTTTCAGCGTCAACCCCACCCTCACTGATGTCAGCATGTTGCTGAAAATAGATTTCTGCAACAACAGCACAAAGAGCATTTTGTGGATGCTTAGCAGCTTTTTCAAAAATAGTTTTTAGAAGTACTTTCCCTGTAGGTCATTAACAATGAGCAAACATACTTAGTATGTGATGGCTGTTTATTAAATGAGATAGTGGTTCAGTCTAACACAGTAATAACTAGTGCCAACAAAAGTTGTGATGAGGTGCTAAGCCAAGGAATAAATGGTTGTGTAGACAGAATTACTCTCAAACCATTAGGGTTGGAGCACGGGAGTGTGATAGGGTGGAGAAGCTTGTATGGTCACTGTCAGTGTTGATCCTGTTGTATGTGTACGGAGGACTTTGGTCTTCAATGCTGTCAACTTGGTACTTTTAAAAGCATTATTCTGAGTGGTGACTTTAAAAACAAATATACATCTAGAACAGGGGAGGGCCAACTACATCCCGCAGGCCGGATCCGGCCCGTCAGGGTTTTCAATCCGGCCCACGGGATTGCCAGCCCCGTGGCGCAGAGGGGCTAAGGCAGGCTCCCTGCTTCCCCTGGCCCTGTGCCGCTCCTGGAAGCGGCCGGCACCATGTACTTGCGGCCCCTGGGGGAGAGGGTGGCAGTCACTGCACCCCACAGCTCCCATTGGCCGGGAACAGTGGCCAATGGGAGCTTCGGGGGTGGTATCTGCTGGTGAGGGCCGCGTGCAGCGGAGCTGCCTGCCCTGCCCCACCCCACCCCGCCCCACCCGCAGGAGCCACTGCTGGACATGCTGGCCACTTCTGGGAACGGCTCGGGGCCAGGGCAGGCAGGGAATCTGCCTTAGCCCCGCTGCATGCTGCTGCCACCCCAGAGCCGCTTGAGGTAAGCGGCGCTGTGCCAGAGCCCACACCCAGAACCCCTCCTGCACCCCAACCCCTGCCCTGAGCCCCCTACTGCACCCCTCCTACACCCCAGCCCCTTGCCCTGAGCCTCTTCCTGCATCCCAACCCTTGCCCCAGCCCTACATTCATGGCCCTGCATATAATTTCCTCACGCAGATGTGACCCTCCTGCCAAAAAGTTTGCCCACCCCGATCTAGAATATATTTCTTCAGCTGTTCTGAGATCAGTCATAAGAACATAAGAACGGCCATACTAGGTCAGACCAAAGGTCCATCCAGCCCAGTATCCTGTCTACCGACAGTGGCCAATGCCAGGTGCCACAGAGGGAGTGAACCTAACAGGTAATGATTAAGTGATCTCCACACTCTGACAACAAAGGCTGGGGACACCATTCCTTACCCATTCTGGCTAATAGCCATTAATGGACTTAATCTCCATGAATTTATACAGTTCTCTTTTAAACCCAGTTCTCTTCACAACCTCCTTAGACAAGGAGTTCCGCAGGTTGACTGTGCGCTGTGTGAAGAAGAACTTCCTTTTGTTTGTTTTAAACCTGCTGTTTGTTTTAAACCTGCTGCCCATTAATTTCATTTGGTGGCCCCTAGTTCTTATATTATGGGAACAAGTAAATAACTTTTCCTTATTCACTTTCTTCACACCACTCATGATTTTATGTACCTCTATCATATTCCCTCTTAGTCTCCTCTTTTCCAAGCTGAAAAGTCCTAGCCTCTTTAATCTTTCCTAATATGGGACCTGTTCCAAACCCCTAATCATTTTAGTTACCCTTTTCTGAACCTTTTCTAATGCCAGTATATTTTTTTTTGAGATAAGGGGACCACATCCGTATGCAGTATTCAAGATGTGGGCGTACCATGGATTTATATAAGGGCAATAAGATACTCTCCATCTTATTCTCGATCCCTTTTTTGATGATTCCTAACATCCCGTTTGCTTTTTTGATTGCTGCTGCACACTGCGTGGACGTCTTCAGAGAACTATCCATAATGACTCCAAGATCTTTCTCCTGATTAGTTGTAGCTAAATTAGCCCCATCATATTGTATGTATAGTTGGGGTTATTTTTTCCAATGTGCATTACTTTACATTTATCCACATTAAATTTCATTTGCCATTTTGACAGGTTTCAGAGGAACAGCCGTGTTAGTCTGTATTCGCAAAAGAAAAAGGAGTACTTGTGGCACCTTAGAGACTAACCAATTTATTTGAGCATGAGCTCAATTGGTTAGTCTCTAAGGTGCCACAAGTACTCCTTTTCTATTTGCCATTTTGTTGCCCAATCACTTAGTTTTGTGAATCTTTTTGAAGTTCTTCACAGTCTGCTTTGGTCTTAACTATCTTGAGCAGTTTAGTATCATCTGCAAACTTTGCCACTTAACTGTTTACCCCTTTCTCCAGATCATTTGTGAATAAGTTGAATAGGATTGGTCCTAGGACTGATCATTGGGGAACACCACTAGTTATCCCTCTCCATTCTGAAAATTTACCATCTATTCCTACCCTTCGTTCCCTGTCTTTTAACCAGTTCTCAATCCATGAAAGGATCTTCCCTCTTATCCCATGACAACTTAATTTACTTAAGAGCCTTTGGTGAGGGACCTTGTCAAAGGCTTTCTGGAAATCTAAGTATACTATGTCCACTGGATCCCCCTTGTCCATATGTTTGTTGACCCCTTCAAAGAACTCTTAACAGATTAGTAAGACATGATTTCCCTTTACAGAAACTATGTTTGACTTTTGCGCAACTATTTATGTTTTTCTGCGTGTCTGACAATTTTATTCTTTACTATGCTTTCAACTAATTTGCCCGGTACTGACGTTAGACTTACTGGTCTGTAATTGTCAGGATCCCCTCTAGAGCCCTTTTTAAATATTGGCATTTAAAAAGTCCAACTTTGTGGTAGTTAAATATATATTATAAGGCTGTTTGTCTCTGTGTTCTGTTGACAATAGATAACCAAAGGTATCTCAATTTTAAAAAAAAACAGCCTTGTACAGGTGGGTGTTCTCAGGAATAAATTGATTCTGTGGATTTAAAGTCATTCAACATTGCAATACTAACTTAGACCCTTATCTTTTCCAGGCCCTAAGTTACTTTCACAAGGCTGAAGAAGGTAATTTTTGTATAGTTTGTTTGTAGTAGAATGAGTCTCTTGCCCTTGGTGATCCAAAACAAGCAAGCAAATTCCCAGGGGTTAAAGATGTAGTAGCATATGTACTGTTGAAACATAGGTTCGAGGTCCCTGGCCACACCATTCAGCTCATTAGACCTAAGTTATATGGCATGCTCTTCCCTCTCCCCCCTCCCCCTTATGCAGCAGAGCTGTGGTGAATTATGATATGATGATTTTAACCAATTGCAAAGTTATTCAGTAGCCTTCAATTTGATTGAACTATTTCTAAAAATGAACTATATAGTGAAATGTATGCATACCATTTGTAGCAATGCAATATTTCCAGTTATATATGGCATTTCCAGTGGGCAACATTTGAAAAAGCAAAGAACCAGTTCAGACAATTTTTCTTTCTTACTCATGAGTAGAGCTGGTTGGGGGGAAAAAATCAGTAAAAAGTTTTTTCTTTTTTGACCAGCTCTACTTGTGCATGAAGTGAATTAGGAATTGCATTGCTCAATTACCAGAATCTGAATGAAAACTTTTCCTTTCCTTGCTTAAGGGTCAGCTTAAATACAACTGGGAACAAAGAGAGTCTCCTAACAAAAGGAAATCTTTTTGAATTCCCCCGACACCTGACGTGGAGAAACAGTGGCTGGGCCCCGAGAGGGAATGATTTACCCAGTACAACCTGACTAGCAGCTGCTGAATTGTAGCTTGCCCAGCTGCAGCTAATTTAATCTGGGGCTTCTTTGAAAACGTCTTTCCACCACAGCTAGCATGACAGGACACTGACACCCCCATTTAACTAAAATACCCCCCCTCAAAATTAAAAATATCCCTGAGAAAAATCAGCCAACCAACTTAAACAAAACAAAAATATCCCACAGAGGCTTTTTACCCCCAAAAGAGAGGCAAGCCAGAACCACTAGGGACTCCACTATTGCTGTCTTACGTAGAACACATTAATACTACAGTGATGGGCAGCAGCAGAAACCCCTAAAATAGATTATAGATAAAGCACTGAATTAGAAGCCTGTGAGAGAGTTAGTACAGGCAGGAGAATGTGATGGTGGATGCACAATTTTAGCAAGAAAATACCAAGAGCTGGCTATAAAGAGAATTTGGTTGTTTTTAAGTAATTGAGGGAAACTCTGTCCTGTGTTAAGGTTGGTGCCTGTTAGAATGCTTAAAAGATAAGCTTTATCTTCTGTTTCTCTACTGTTTGACCTGCCATTTTAGCCAGTTAGCCTGTAACTTGTCTCCCCTCTCCAGGGGTCTGTCTGCACTGCAATGTAAGCTCAGGGTTAGTAGAACTCGGTGTCAGACCTTGGCTTTGTTAACCTAGGGCTTGAGTGTCTATACTGATTTATAACCCCAGGCTAGGAATTGTTGATCCCTGGGTCCTAACTTGTGTGGGCCGGAGTCCAGCTGCCCATTTCCATCCTTCCTAGCACCATCCCAAAATGTGGCCACTCTGCCCCTTTGTTCATGGTCCAGTGTGGGAAAACTTGACTGTCCAGAGGACAAAGAAAGTGAGCTCATGGGATTGCGGGATACTGTTGGCAGACTCCCAAACCATGAGTCCAGTGGGGCTGCATCCACATAGCAAAGCAATAGGGTTGGCTTGAACCCTGAGTCCTGGCTTGACTCAGGTTTGGACCCTCACCCCCATAGGTTCTTAGACCCTCGATCCAAGCATTGGGTTAGCACGATCTGTGTGTAGACAGAAGGTGGGTTAGGTTTAAGCCTGAGTTTGAACCCTGGATTTATATTGCAGTATAGAGGTACCCTAGCTGGCTATTCGGTTTAACTTTGTGTGCAGATGCTAAGACCTGCAGGAGGGAAGGTACTTAGAAGTTGCTGAGTTGTGTGTCTCACCCTCACCTTACCACAGCTGAAGTCCAACTCCAGCTCCGAGAGAAGATCTGAGTAGTCTTGTGATCGTTCTTGTTATGCTGTCCTCGTTCTGGATAAATCTCCCTGTTACTGCCTCCTGGCTCTTGTCCATTTAAAAGACCAAGCACAGGAAACTGACTGAATTCCCCTTAGTGCAGAAACAGAACAGAGAGACAGGACGAAGACAAAAAAGAGGATGTAGAGAAGCTGAAATGCAGAATGTGAGCATGTTTTTTTGGATTTGCATGACACAAACAAGGATTTATGTAGTAGTTCGACAAAGTTAAATTACATGCCCATGTAATTTACTGTGTGTGGGTCCCTATCATATGTTTATAATCAGTAGGAAGAAGCATATCATTCAGTACTGTATGTTTGATACATGGCATCTTAGGTTTTTCCCTTTGAGTTGCTTTTTATTAATTCAAGCTCACGGAAAGGCTCATTGTCTGAAAAAGGTATAGGTATGTCAGCAAACATCATTGACCTCAAATAAGCAAAACTTGTACTTGTGGCTATGGAGTTCAGTTTTGAAATTTGGGCCTTGTCAAAGAAAAATAAGAATGAGGAGAATTTTTAAACTTTTAAAAAGGAAGCCTGGCAAATATGAAGTGACTTTTTGATGGAAGTAAGAATAAGGCAGGCAGCAGGTCTGGTGGTTAGAACAGGGAACTGAAGAAGAATATCCTGGTTCTGTTCCAAAGCCTATTGCTGACTTGCTGTGTGATCTTAGGCAAGCTAACCCTTTCTACCTATTTCCCCATTTTATAAGGTGATGTTTGCCCGTTAGAGGAAAGGTGCCTACAGTGGATGCCTCTTAATAGCAATCCCGATATTAACAATATCTGGTTAATAGCAACATTTGGATGAGAACCAATCCTGTCCCACTGATTTTAATTTTGATAGGATTTGGATATTGGTCACAGGGATGCCTCTTATTAACAACTTGTTGGCATGCCTTCCCTGGAGGCAGCCCGACAAACATGCCTGCAACTGGGAGGGGAGGAGGGCTGCGGCCCTCTTGCTGGGGCTTTCCATGAGGAGCGGGAGCACCAGGGGCCCACAGGGCTGCACTCTGCCTCTCTGTGCTCTGCAGCCTGCGCCCTGGCATGGCAGTGGGACCATGGGCTCAGCAATTCCTTCCCAGGCTGCAGCCTTACAAACCCTGCCCTCAGCCTCCCCTTCCAGCCACAGGCAAGTGTGCAGGGCTGCAGGGAGAGGTACCATGCATGTCTTGGTGCTTCCTACCCTGGCTACATCCCAGCCAGCAGGTTTGTGGGGCTCCAGCCAGAGAAGCAAGTCCCAGTACTCCTTGCTCTGGCTGCAGCCCTGCAAACCTGCCTTCCATTTATTGGCAACCTCTGGATAATAGAGACTTTTTGCTGAGAACCAAGAAGTTATGAATAAGCAGAATCTACTGTAATTTGTTGAATGTCATTATTATTCCCTCCCTGTATGATGCTTGGAGAATACACTTTCTGCCCAGAAAGCTTATGTTGTAAAGTCTGTGGCCCAACTAGACACTGCACAGACATTAATTTGCATATCAATGACAATTAACTGAAATGGCTGCAGAATTTGGGTCTGTTGGGCACCAGAGTACGCAGGGCCCAGCACAGGAAATGAAAACTTTACATTTGTCCCCGTGTCAACGGTTCGCTCCTCTTTGAGCCAAAAATATAACTGCATTAAGTAGTTTGAAAGTGTAAATGTTTCAGCAAGTCACAATATATAGTGGTCTGGATTGTATGCCATGCTCACTACAGTTCTCATTTAAAGCGACAGAGAATGTCTCAAACCAGTGCACAATTGCTTTTTGTCTAAAATCAATATAATGAAGCAAAAATATCTTTCACTCTTCTGTCACTGTATACAGCTGATCCAAACTTTTACAGCAAAAACTTGCTGCTTTTGGGGAAGACATACTTGAAGTTAAAAAACAAAAAGATGGCCCTCTTGTGGCTAACAAAAACCAGGGATTATCCTGCACATACAGAGGAGGATAAACAGGTAGGAAAAATAATATAAGAACTGTCAATGTAAGTATGTGGAAAACAGCATGCATGGCACTTTGGTGGCTGAACATCTGTAAAAATAATTTGACTAAATTGTAGTTCTGGAACTACTTTGGGATCCCATTCAGGCACCAACGAATCGTAATGCGTTAATAACCACATTTCTCTGAATCTTTGCCTCTCCGACCCAGTAATCTATTAAAATGAAAAAAATGAGATTTTATGGTATTAAAACTTGTCCAACCTTACTGTCCTATGCTTATGCTCAAATAAATTGGTTAGTCTCTAAGGTGCCACAAGTACTCCTTTTCTTTTTGCGAATACAGACTAACACGGCTGTTCCTCTGAAACCTGTTCTATTATAAATACCCAAGTTTTTGTTGGAGCTGAAGAGACACTAGGATTCAAGAGTTTGTCAGGGAATGTACTACCAGTAGGTATACATAAAAGTGTTGTATGTTCAGCTGCTAAAGATAATTCTGATAACAGGATTATCTCCTCAGGGCTCCAGGCAGTGTCTTATCTAGCAAACTCGTCTTTAAAAATAGACATATCCTTCCCGCACTCCCCTCCTCCCACCCAAAAACCCACGACAGCTACCGAGAACTGTAAAGCTACATTCACTTAACTGTGCAAACAGGATTTATCACAGAACAACCAAGTAGTGGGGCATTTTGAACAGGGAGCCTCTTGCAGAAATCTAATTTACAAGCAAAGAACAAATTTCCTTTTCTACTGGAGGCTCTCTCAGTCTCTGATATATAATGAGTCTTGTTTAGCACTTAGCCTGGTATCTGCAGGGAGAGCCTACTGTGACTAGATAAGCTTATTTGTCTCTAACCTGAGTCACGGCACTCAGGACCTGTTGTCCCTATGTCATCTGAGGAAGCACTGACATTTCAGTAAAAAAAACAGGAGTACTTGTGGCACCTTAGAGACTAACAAAATTATTTGAGCATAAGCTGTCGTGGGCTACAGCCCACTTCATCAGATGCATAGAATGGAACATAGAGTAAGAAGATATATATACATACAGAGAACATGAAAAGGTGGAAGTTGCCATACCAACTCTAAGAGGCTAATTAATTAAGATGAGCTATTATCAGCAGGAGAAAAAGAACTTTTGTAGATAATCAAGATGGCCCATTTCAGACAGTTGACAAAGGTGTGAAGATACTTAACATGGGGAAATAGATTCAATTTGTGTAATGACCAAGCCACTCCCAGTCCCTATTCAAGCCCAAGTTAAGAATAAATAGACACACATCTGATATCAGGAATCATAACATTCAAAAACCAGTGGGAGAATACTTCAACCTCTCTGGTCACTCAGTAGCAGACTTAAAGGTGGCAGTTTTGCAACAGAAAAGCTTCAAAAACAGACTCCAACAAGAAACTGCTGAACTGGAATTAATTTGCAAACTAGATGCCATTAACTTAGGCATGAATAGAGACTGGGAGAAATGTCAGATTCAGAAGTTAAAAGTTGTGAACACAGTTTATTCCACAGTGCGCAACAAATACATATATATTTGACCATGTATATGCTGCAAACAACTGTTAGTGTAAGTCTAGCTTCTTATAGCCAGGGTTACTAAAATATTGAATGATGGAGTGGCAGGCCCTGAGTCCTAGAAACACAGCTGACCTCACAAACTTGCCCATTAGCTGTTTGTTGGCTCTGAAATGTCTGACTTAGTTACTGTCAGTGATGGGATAACAGATCCACCTGGTGCTGTTTTATTATGGCAGTTCCGATAAGTAAGTGCTAATTGTTTCTGCTATTGTGCATTCGACTTAAATACACTGAAGAGAGTTAGTGTATAGTAAATGAATGTTTAGAGAGGAAGTACTGCAGGTAAGGGACTAGGCCGGGAATCAGCAGAGGTCGAAGTTCCATTCGTGGTTGTGCTATGAGGGTCCAATATGATACCGAGTAAATCACTCAACTTCTATACCCTGGTTTCTACATCTTTAAGATAACACTTGTCTTACAGGGGAATTGTGAGGCACTTGGATACTATGGGCATAAGTGCTATAGGAAAGCCTGTAAATAATAGTATTGTTTTGTTCACCATCACATTTTTTTAAAATTTAGGTACAAAAAGAAGCTGTGGAACTGCTCAATTCTATATGACAAGAACTAAACTATTAAGAAGAAACTACATTAAATGTGACTAAAGCACAGGACAAAATACCCAGCGCTTGTTCTACTGTGGCTGTTATTAAAATTAAATTTAATGTCACCTTACCACTGTATATCTTTAGTAAAAAGCTGTTGTCAACTACTAGATACCATGTGAACTGTAGAAGAATGTAATTTCTATAAAAAGATACTGAACAGCAAGAGTTCTCAAACTGTGCTCTGCAGAATGACGCATTGGTCTCAGAATATAGTGGGGAAATCTCATTTAATATTTGGCTAGGTGCTGCATGGACAGACATAGATGTTATCTTTGCTGATGCATGTGGGCACACAGGCCTAAGAAAACCTACAGTATATGAAGTATGGAAGAGAAACAATCAGATATAAAATGTGTATAAAATTGAGTAAATACTAATTTTCCCACAGCTCTGTCATCATATGGTAGCTTACTGTCCGTGGCCCTCTCAAAGTGAGGGGAGGGAAGAAACTAATAGCCTTACATGCATCAGTTCAGGAAGGACATTTCTAGGCATGGTGTGGAAGAAAACATTAAGCATGAGCCTCTCATGACCTTGTTGCTTGAGAGGAGGAAGGAGCTGGAAGAAGCACAATGATGAAGAGGCAAAAATGGATAATGAAGAGAAGAGAATTGTGAAGGGCTTTGAAAATGGTCCACTGAATAAAAGAACTGGAGAAGCACTGACAAAAGCTTGTACATGTCTCAGGGGGACCTAAGATCTAACCTATTTGATTATATTCCCCACCATACACCTCCTCTTTTGTGCATCATGCCCATCCAGTACAAAAACCCTGGTTTTGACTCAAAATTCAGTATATCATATGTTTAGTTTTTTTGTACTAAAAAAAAATGACTAACAAACATTTGTCTGGGACCTTTTGTACCCAGTGAGGTGTGAGAAAGGGTTTTGGTTTTTGAGAATCAGGCAGTTGAAGCATTTGATCCTGGGGAGGGAAAGTATCACACCATCTGCTTACTCAGCCCTGTGTCCCACTCACACCAAGCAGTGGGACTTGCTGCCACCTAACGAAGGCGCTGAATTCTGGTCACCAGTCTGAAGGTTCCAGAGGTTGCCAGGTTGCTCTCCCTGGAAGGGGTGGAGTAGGGGTAGGGCCAGGGGCAGCGGGGTGTCAGTGATGCAGCCCTCGGGCCAATGTACTAGTCCTCGTGTGGCCCTCCTGGTGATTTGAGTTTGAGATCCCTGGTCTAGCCCCTCACTTCAGGGGCAAGTTGCAGTCTGTATTGACTATGCACCTCCACAGCCAGGTGCAGTGCAGGGGGGGGGACCCAGGCCCTCCCACCTGCTCCTCTGGGTCCCAACCCTGGGACCCTCTAGCGCCAGCCTCTCTGCCCTCCTTCTCTCCCCTCATCTGCCTATAATCCCTAGGCCACTTCCCTGTGGCCCTTTCTGGCAGGGGCCTGCAGCCTAGCAGGTAACAGGCCAGAGATCCCCCTCCACTCCCCTGAGCCTGCCCAGCACCGCTCTATCTCAGGTGCTATCCCAGGGAGTCAGTCCTTCTCCCTTGCTTGTCAGGGAGAGACTCCCCTCTACTCTGTTGGGCAGCTCCTTAGATCAGGGCTGGCCCAGCAGCTGGCTCCTGTCTGGCTCCTAACAAGCCTCACCCTAATTAGCTGCAGGTTTCCACAGCCTCCCTGGCTGCTTCTACCCCACCTCCTGCTGGAGTGGGCCGCCTGCACCATTACAGTCCCCCTCTGCATCCTGGACTTTTAAACCTTTCCTCTGCCTGTTTTTTTCATTTATTGTGTCCAGCACTCCCTTGCACCTGGGTTCAATGACTTCTCCCCTTTGGCTGAGGTGGTGGGCCTTATTACCACAAAGAGTACACGGTCCCCCACCTGCAAAAGTGACATCAGACTCCAACAGCCTCACACTACACCACCACAAACATTGAATGACTCAGAAGTCCTGTGGGAAAAATAGTATGTGATCACGTAATTAAAGCCTATCATAGTGAATACGCCCAGAGGGTCCAAATTAAAATTGCACAGACTTTCCAGTGGTTGCCTAATGTTTTCATGTTCTAAAAAAATTAATCACAGGAAATATATTGACACCCAGCTTGGGTGAGCAACATTTGAAACTTTAGATCCACAACACAGAACTCTACCACTTGAGCTAACAAAGTGAATGGTTGGTTGAGTATTTAGATAAGGCATAAGAAGGGGATAACGCTCTGCCACTGGGTTTCACAACTGTTTGCTAACAGCAGAGGAATGCAGAGACTTGGACTCCTGAGTTCCCTTCCAGATTCTAGAGCGGGGGAGGGAGTGTGCTCTACTGATTAGCCTTCTGCCCATCCTCCAACCCAAAGCCTGTCTTTTTCCCCACACCACCCCAGCCAAGCTCCTGTCCTCCCCTCATCCACACCTGTACGCCCCCAGACCTTTTCCCAAACCACCCCCCACTGTCTCCAACTGCTTCCAGCATGTCTCATTTCACTCCTTTGCATTCCAAATCAGGCACCTTCCTCCTCCTTGCTGCTTGGGCACCAGCAGGTGCAGCACTGAGACCACAAGAGAGTCTCTTCGCTAATTTCTGGTGCCCAGCATCACGGAGGCCCGAAACAGTCACTGCAGCCCCAGGATACAGCATGCAAAGTCCAGTCACACACACACTGTGAGAGGAAGGAACATGCTCAGTACAGACCAAATCTTCAGGCAGTTAAACTGCCAAATTTTTAACAAGTGTCTACTATGTGCAAACAGATTTTTCAGAGGCTCATAATCTGGCCAAAATAGAGAAGATTTTCACAGGTATCGCAAAAGGCACATATCTCTGACACCACAGTGACCCCCTCTCCCCAGCCAAATTCCAACTTCCATCTCTGAAGTATGTCAGTGCTAGAGTTTCTGACAGCCAATTCATTAACATGCGCAAAACACCACATTTTCCCCTTAAGCTCATTCTCGGAAACAGTTGAACATTTTTGCTGAAATTTTCCAAAAAATTCAAAGGCAGACATCCAGCATGGAAAATTGCAGCCTGAACAGCTGAAGTTTGACAAAGTTTAAGCAGCTGTAACATCAGTAACATGGGAGTAGGTGGGAAGCAGTTACTTCTTTCTTACTTCTGATTATTATAAAATACCCAGTGCTTTACAAAGAAGGTAAACGAAAGTTCTTCTTCGAGTGCTTGCTCATATCGATTTCAATTAGGTGTGTGTGCGTGCCACGTGCACGATCGTAGGAGAATTTTTACTCTAGCAACACCCAGTGGGTCAGCTGTAGAGCACCCTGGAGTGGCACCTTCATAGCGCTGGATATATACCCCAGCCGACCCAGTGCCTCCTCAGTTCCTTCCTACCGCCAGTGATGGTCGTTGGCACTCTGGAGCGCGGCATAGCTGTCCTCCACTCTCCCTAGCTTTTTGCTTCCCGTTGTTAGATTGTTGTTATAGTGTATAGTTAGTGTAGTTGTTATAGAGATAGTGATAAGTTTAGACTTAATTTAGTGGGTTGGAAGGGGTCCTTCCTCTCCTCCCTGCCCGCCGCTTGGGCTCATGCCCAAAGCTCTGGGTTTCAAACCTTGCTCAGCCTGCTCAAAGGCTATGCCAACCGGAGACCCCCATAACTCCTGTTTGAAGTTGTCAAGGTTCCTTCCCCACTCTGACCTCTAGGGTACAGATGTGGGGACCTGCATGAAAACCTCCTAAGCTTATTTTTACCAGCTTAGGTTAAAACTTTCCCTAGGTACAAACTATTTTCCTTTTTCCCTTGGACTTTATTGCTGCCACCACCCAACGTCTAACAGATATATAACCAGGAAAGAGCCCACTTGGAAACATCTTTCCCCCAAAAATTCTCCCCAAACCCTACACCCCCTTTCCTGGGGAAGGCTTGATAAAAATCCTCACCAATTTGCATAGGTGAACACAGACCCAAACCCTTAGATCTTAAGAACAATGAAAAAGCAATCAGGTTCTTAAAAGAAGAATTTTAATAGAAGAAAAAGTAAAAGAATCACCTCTGTAAAATCAGGATGGTAAATACCTTACAGGGTAATCAGATTCAAAACAGAGAATCCCTCTAGGCAAAACCTTAAGTTACAAAAAGACACAAAAGCAGGAATATTGATTCCATTCAGCATAGCTTATTTTCTCAGCCATTTAAACAAACAGAATCTAACGCATATCTAGCTAGATTACTTACTAAGTTCTAAGACTCCATTCCTTTCTGTTCCCGGCAAAAGCATCTCTCTCTCTCTCTCTCTCTCTCTCTCTCACACACACACACACACACACAGAGCCTTTGTTTCTCCCCCCCTTCCCCGCAACTCCAGCTTTGAAAGTATCTTGTCTCCTCATTGGTCATTTTGGTCAGGTTCCAGCGAGGTTCTCCTAGCTTCTTAACCCTTTACAGGTGAAAGGGTTTTTCCTCTGGCCAGGAAGGATTTTTTAAGGTGTTTAACCTTCCCTTTATACTTATGACACGCCCCCCAAATCACAGGTAGGGTGAAACACTGGCTGTGATTTCTTCCTGGAGCTCTAGGAGAAAACAGAGTTAATAAGACACATGCACCTCTAAATATATAACCAAGTACATAAAGACTAACAATATTTTCCACATCTCAAGGACGATTTTAACCAGTTGATTCTGGGAAACTTTCATGGGAGAGTGCACCAGCCACTTTGTTAGAAGCTCCTGAGATGTGTTGGATGTCAAAATCAAAATCTTGGAGAGCTAAACTCCACCGAATAAGTTTTTTGTTATTTCCCATGGCGGTATGAAGCCACTATAGAGCAGCATGGTTGGTTTGCAGGTGGAAACACCGTCCCCAAACATATGGGTGTAGCTTTTCCAGAGCGTAGACAATGGTGTAACATTCTTTTTCACTGACTGACCAGTTGCTTTCCCTCTCAGACAGCTTCTTGCTGAGAAACACTACAGGGTGGAATTCTTGATCCGGTCCTTCCTGCATTAAAACTGCTCCCACACCACACTCAGATGCATCTGTGGTTACTAGGAACCGTTTGTCAAACTCTGGGGCCCTTAATACAGGGTCAGACATGAGTGTCGCTTTAAGCTGGTTAAAGGCCTTCTGACACTCTTCGGTCCACTGAACGACATTTGGCTGTTTCTTTTTAGTTAGGTCTGTCAGCGGGGCGGCA